ACTGTGTATAGCCGGAAGTGAGAATTTGCTGGGGTGGGAGTGAGTTAGTTGGGGGCGACTATGTACAAACGAGACCAGTTCCTTGGGGGCGAGTTTGTAAGAGGCAAGTTTTGAATAAGGATCAGTCTCTAGCAGGGTCGAGTTTGTTAGGGGCGTGTGTGTAACGGGCCAGCTTGTCAAGAGGAGAAATTGCAAGAGGCGAGTTGACTGGTTCCCTCCTGAAGTTATGAGGGTTGCTTAGCCTAGGCTAGACCTACTGCTGCAGCTTGACAGCACATGCGGCGGTGGGTAACGTGCTTTTTATGACCGGGTGTCGTGTGTGGTGAGGCCGAGCAACAAAACCAGGTGACAGGTCCAGGCACTGGCTTATTATTATTAGTTCTAAAAACAATATAGGATTTAACCTTGCTATTTTTCAACGCGCCTGCAAACAGCTTAAGCAAATAAAGATATAGTCCCAAACTTACCCTTCACTTATTATTGCTGCTAAGCCTAGACCTAAATAAACCCTGCCCTAGATCCCGTCGACTTCGTCTGTATGTCCACGTTTGTATGTTGATGATATGGATGGATGATCATATCGCATGAGGGCGCTCTCATAAAAATTGTAACCATGTGGCGGTTCATCACTTTGGTTAGCCCCTTGTTTTGACTAATGACTTTAGCTCACACTTTTGTTCTCATCTAATACTACCGTATATCTCCATGGTTCATCTTTATCTTCTTCGATGTTGTCAGCAAAGTAGGCCTATGCGCCGCGATGCGTGTTATGATCAATTAATCCCTATGTTTTTAAATTTATGTTACAGACCTACGGTACAGTATTAATGCAATGTCATTTTTTCTCTCTCTGTGTAGGCCTATTATGCACTACCAATCTCACAAATCATTTTATTTTATTTTTATTACTATTTGTTAGTATAAGAAAGCAACATAAAAATGTTGAAAATTATAATATAGGCCTTTCGGAAGATACGATACAAGACATAAATTTATGCCGAAACTGAAAATGCTTAACATTTAAAAAGGATCATAACTAGATGGTTTACAATACATTAATTATAATATTTTCTGGCAGTGAGTTCCAGATAATAGTTGAGCAGGCCGGCGCCAGGATTTGCCCAACCGTGGTGCCTAGGCCCAAACGCGGGGGAGGACGATGTCCCCAGCGAGATAATAAAAGGACATGGTTTAAGTTGTGCGTCCCTGATATGTTTCGAAAGTGGTCCAGGGCGCGAAGCTCCGAAAAGTATGATCAAAGGCTTATTTATTCGTTTTATAAATAGCCTAGGCCTAGATAGTCTTCTACTAACAGGCCTATGTAGAATATACATATAATTTGTTTTCTCCCCGATAGATTGTCATTTTCCCCTGACCGGGATATCTCTGGTGCCATCCCTGAGGATAGAGACGAGAGAATCGATGATGGTGATTCGTGACTATTGCCGAAATTTCTGACACACGAGTGCAGGTGAACATCTTAGCTAAAACATTCGAGAGCGTATCCTGGTGGTCCATTTTTGAACCCGGGTATGTCAATTTCTCTACTCGTTTTGTCAAAATATGAGCTAACATTTCCGATTATGCCCCTCAAAACAGGTAAACAATATAGAATTTATTCTATGTATTAATAGGCAATACCGACAACATAAATCACACTGAGTTATGACAAATTATTTTATTCATCGTTGGCTAAAATTAGTATTTTCTGACCAAAAATTGCATGAAAATTGACACTGTCTACAAATCAGTGAAAAACAATTAAAGTGTTAATAATTGAAGTGTACCGTATATTACAGGTAGACTGTCTGTAATAATTTTTTTTTTTAAATCATCCCCATCATCATCATCATCATCACCTTTTTATGCTGTTCATAATCCCTATAAGCTCTAAAAATATCTGTGGTGTAGGCCTACATACGTTCTCAGCAGATTATGCAGCTGAACTACGGTAGTATTCTCGTCACATATGAAACTAAATGGCTTTGTAGGTATTAAAATAAGTCTATCATTCTCATTTTATATGAAAGCTAATACTGTAATTCAGACTACTTAACGAACTAAGCAATTAATAATGAATTCTATTTAAAAAATTGTTTTGACATTTCACAGATGGTATAACTTTAAATGTGAATCTGATAGGCCAATCCACCGAATATGTACTCTCCCGTATTCCCTTCAGTATAATTTATTTTTCATTTGTAAAATACATTTTACATTACAAGGGTCTGCTCATAAATAAATAAATAATTTTAAAAAATAGAAATAATAACTAGAAAGCAATATCATGTAATAAATTCGGGAATAAACTATAGGGCCCGCCGATTTTTTGAGTCAACGTTTCTGGACTTGAATTTTAATACCTTAAACTATTCCCTAAACTGACGTACCGTACTTGCGCCCAGTTTGAATAAGCGCCACTCCTAAAGTGAAAATTGTCTTAAGCGCCCCGTTTGAATAAGCGCCCCCAAATTTTGAATAAGCGGGAGTGACAATTGACCAATCAGATAATTGTTAGTTGTTGTCTGTCTTATGTAACGCTTTAGTTTTCTGAGTATGATTTTAGTACTACATAACAGAATCAAGTCATGGAATGCGTCTTTCGTTACAGTTTATGTGCCATTTAATGGCAACAGCACTGTCTCCGTGTTCTGTGATATCCATGGTGGGAAATTATAGCACGTGTACACGTGTTTTACAATCAATCTATCAGTGGGATTGAGCATGATATATGATTTGTGTGCGACGAATATTTTTTTATCATTGTACTGGCTCAAAGTTCATCCAAATTACATTGAAATTTATATATATTTTGACTCAGGTATTCCTTTGCCAGCCTAGCCATGTCCATAGCCACCCACCTGAAATCAAACAAAATGCATAATCAATCAATCAACCAATCAATCAATCATTCAATCAATCGATCGATCAATCAATCAATGAAGCAATTGATTTAGGTTCAGTAGATTGTTGCCATCGTATTTATATAGAGTGTACCAGGGAACAGTAAAGTTACACACACAAACCCTCACACACACACACATATACATATATACATATATATACATATGTACATATATATATATATATATATATATACATATATATACATATATATACATATATACATATATAT